GATAGTTGGAGATTTAATGTAAATATTCTCATCATAGTACAGTTTTTCGCAGAGTAATTATGAGAAACATAGAAGTTATTATACCTTAAACGTTGGTCGTAAGGAAGAATATTATTACGATGCCGGCAGATAATCTCGAAAAGAGCGAAGTCACGTCTACGCGAGGCTGGCTGATAATCTAGCTAGTAAAGTCACGTATACGCGAAAAAGATTGTTAAAGAATTAAGTTACGGATGACTAAAAATTTAGTGTCAAAGGATCTATGTTCATGTGTACAATCTTCCTTAAGACAACATTTTCAAAACTATTTTATCATTTAGATAAAAGGAATTTGTGTACTTCTTTAAAATTATATTTTCCTTAGTACAACCACATATAACCATTTTAATGCTTAACCTTTCGTACTCGATAATATCTTTCATTCTAAATATTTTCTAATGGAAACATCTTGCATAAACGAAATGACAAAATTATTTTATTTCAATGTCTCATGTGTTGAGACATTACACAAATTGAATTCTAGTTTTTATAATTTTGCTGTTACGAATTAAATGACGACCAAGGGCCGTCTGTCGAGTACAATGGGTTAATAATGTTTGCATTTTATTCAGATTTTATTGTTTTCATCGTCTGATAAAGTTTTCAATAGAAAAGTTGAATATCCGAATTCAAACAAAATTAGAACATTAATAATAAAAGAAAGAAGAACATTTAACTTTTCGTTGTGACCATTTACCTTGTTACACAAAATAATTCCGAAATCTAAAATCTTTTCATAATCCAGAATATAATTTCAGCTACTCCGTTAAATTCTATACTTCAAAGTTTGCCCAAAGATATAAGTACAGTTTACTTGGGAACATACTCGTGATATAACTATTAGTCCTAAAAAATGGAAGTGAAACAACGTCTTGGTTGCGTCGGATGGCAACGAATGGTGCGTTTCAGGTAAACGAGCGAGGAGAGAGTGGAACGTGAAGGAGGGATAGGTCTTATGGATTTTATGGCCCGTTCTAAAACCCAGATAACGGTTCTAGCCGGTCCCATGCATTCGAAGCGTGCTTCACGTTTCAAATTGCAGAGACAAAGCGTTTCAGGCTTACGAAATATCGTTTCTCATGCCCTTAGATTTCAAATATAATGCCTACGGCGCGTATAGTTACAGGAAGAATACTAACAAATCGAATAATTATCCAGCTAAACAATTTTTTGGCTCGACCTCCTTACGGAATAGAAGAAATCAATCTGCTCCTGTTTCAGATTACCGTTTCTGTTTCAAGGTATAAAAATAAAAAACGCCGCAAACGATTCGTCTAGATATCCTGCGACGGTTCTAGTGCACCGTAAATGGACAGGTAGGCAGAGCGACGTATCTGAGAATGATGAAACCCGCTGTATATATGTACAAGAATGGAGAAACCAGAGGACAGAATTTTCTTTGGAGGATCTGTTCAGTTTGCAGGCCGGAGGCGACCGCATCAGGGGCAACGGCCGGTCAAAGTCCTACCTTCGACATTCTATCCCCTCTACCTTCTTTGTTCCTGTCCTTCTTGTTCATCGTTCCTTCTTTCTTCGTGGCTTCACTCCTTTTCCACCTTAGTTTCGTACCTGTTCATCTCCTTATCTCCACGCGCGCCTTCCTCTGCCTCTCTTTGAGCGACCGGGTCTCCCAATCCTCTTTATTAGTCTCTCGTATTGTTGCACGAATTTTCAGAAATTTAACGCTGAAGATACTTAACCAGTTAATTGCGTTCGACGAGTATATAATCCATTTTAAAACACAAAATGGTAGTCAATTTTTTAACGATGAGTTATTTATCTTTTTAGATAAACATGTAATTCTTCCTCGTCTCGCATTGGTTTTTCATTAAAACATATCGCAGGTGTATTTGTCCTGCGTTTGACCAGCATACTAAATTCGACAGTTAACACGTTAAGGAAAACTATTGTCCATCGCATGGAAACGAAATCTCAGACAGATTAACGTATAAATTAAAAATTTAGTTTATATTTGTTGCAATTAATAGATATTATTCCTTGCAAGTAACAATTGAAATATTAAAATACATTCATTTATGTAAAATAATTAAGAATTTTGCAGAAAGCAGTAATTATGCTAAATAAAACAGAATTTTGTATAATTTTGTAAAATGAAATTTTTCTATTTTTAATTACAAGTAAATTGTATTCTGTTCATATTTTAGCTATTATTTATTAATAATTTTTAATATTTCTCAGTTAATATTGATTGAAAAATTAACTTACTCTTTTTATTTCTAGATGGCGTAGTTACCTGTCGACTTCATATAATTTTTATTATTTTCAGTACCTATCCGATGCAATAATCTTACACATAGATAAGAGGTAGATAAAAATTACATGAAATACCTTTTTGATCAGATTTTCATGACTATTTTTTAATACTCAATACATTGTCCCTGATCTCATGAAACATGTCTTCATTTATATTATCTGTTAGTTTCCGTTAAATCACTGAATCGACAGTTCTGTAATGCTCGATAACAAGTTATATATCAAACGAAGGAACTTCCGAATAGGACAAAGCTGATGATAAACGATTTTAATCATCAATCAAGTTAATCATCGTATTTGTCTCGCTATCGACGTGATTAAACGAAATCATCGGCTTGATATACATCGTCGAAGGATTGTTTCGCAACATATGCCGTTGTGCCAGATACGATGCTCACTTATGTATGGCATAGATGAACGTGAACGCCCACGTATCCTCGTCGCACGAGTATATTTTTGCTGTGAAGATTGCTCCTTTCTCTCGTTAGCAACTTAAAAATAAATTCTTCAAGAAGAAATTATAATCAAGTAACGACCTTCCTAATTATTTTACCTATCTACCACCTACTTTTGAATATACAAAAATTATGAACATTTGGTTTGTATTGTAATGTGATTGTAAATTAAACAAAATATTTTTCAAATAATTACGCTCCATTTTTAATCTCTTTCGTAATCTTTTTTGTAAATACTTTTCATTTTCTATTAAATTGATCTGCACAAATTTACTGTTTCGAAGATAGGAGTTCTAATAAGAAAATATTTGTTATTAACTTTATCAATTTTACTAAAATAATTACTATTTTTGTAACTTGTGTCTACATATATATACAGATATTGCAAAGTCATTCGTACGATACAAGTGTTGGCGTAATCATATTTTTATATGCTTTTTCCGAGACTGGAAGACCTAATGCTACTAGTTATCCTTGAATATTAGTTTTAACAATTTCAAATACATGCACGTGCCTTAAATAAAAGATAAACTACACATCTGCAGCCGACAGTTCCATATGCATCAGGTTCTTCTTTTTTGCCTAATTAAAGCGACTCTTTGCATATACACATGCGAGTCGACTTAGAGTTCTTTCGTAAATTTAGGTTGACTACTATTTTTTATTATATACAGCATTAAAGAATAAAAATATCAATAATAAAGCGATCAATTTAAACATTCAGAAGAAAGTCCATGTATAACTGTGTAATTATTTAATGTAATGTAATTATTTGAGCAAGCATTGTGTAATTCTGTTTCAATATTTGTTAATACTACAGTAAACATAATTATTCTCCTCAGAAAATGGAGAACTATCGAGAAGGGTGTATAAAATTATTGATTATATTCACTTATTTATATCATTTACTAATGTAAATTTTAGAAAAGCTCCAGTGTACGTATTTATATAGATATATTAATACAATGTTATTCGCCCGAAAGCTACAGAAAGAATGCCCTGAGAAGGGCACTGTTTAGCCGGAGCTTATTGCACCCCGATTTTTCTTCACTAAAATTATCTTACACAAATGAGATAAATTAGTACGTTTAAATGTGCACAAGCTAAATTTTCAGTTTTAAGATACTTATATTTTAAATATTTTCGTTCACAGTAGTTTAAATTCAGACACTGTATGTGAGGAGACACGACATTGTTTGAGAATAAACATACCAGGATGGTTTAAAATTAAATTGTAATCCAGAATAAACTCTGCAAGATCCAAGAATTCCATTATGTCTTTTATTAAATTCAATATTTGTGTATAAGAAACATTCTTCGATGTCTTTCGCTGTTTTTAAAATAAAAAGGGTCTAGACTGTGTTTTAAAGTTAAAGTACGGTAGAAATTTATTTATTGCTTCTCCAATAATGTTTACACATACTTTGGAAATATATTTGAAAAAATATTTTACAATATATTTAAACAAATACTTTTGCATTCATTAAATCAGTGTTGTGTAAAATAACACTTGGAATTCTTTGAATATTCAGTTTAAGAGTTTCCTTGGTTTATTTATAGTTATTACGAGTGTACAAAAGCCATGTTTCTTTGTTCATTTGTCACTGTTCAATCAATGAAATCATCAATGAATACAAAGAATATCATGAATAAGGATCGTACATCAATGTAATTATACCGTGTACATGATCGTGTATGATGAATAGGCATGACTTGTAATCAGTTAGTGTAACGTCGATAATGATTTAAAATAGGCTATCCCTGTTTTATAAAATTGTCTATGTTGTAGCGAAGTAAATGTTATTCAACAGCTAGTACAAAGTCTGCGAACCACTAATAACTCATTTTAAATGATCGAGTGCTTCCGTAATTTCTTTGAAACTTCTCAAGTTTTTCTAAAGCTACCAAGTTCTATTTCACTGTTGAAACTTATATGTATCAATGTTCGTTCTTGCTACTATTTGAATTCCTCGTACACACTCATTTGCATTTACTTACAAAAAGTGTACACTTTTTGTTAGAATATGTTAAATTCATTAACGTTATCTAACACGAACGTATACCCAACTATGGAACCATGTATTGCAAATTATTCGAAACTACCCACTTTATCAACGCTTATCGGGAAAAAATAATTCACCAAATCGAACGTTCTTGAAATTCGTTAATATTTATAGAAAAGCTATTTGCACCCATGCTGCGCCAAAATAGTTCCAGAAGTTCGCACTGATAGTAGAATGTTCATTTTCCTCGACACAAAACTGCAGTGTCAGCCAACTTACGTACGTCGGTATATTGTCTAAATGAGAGTTGAACACGGTTTAACTGAGTGATTCGCAGAAGAATCACGCTGGGTGGAGTCGCGATGCGTCCCGCATCGTGATCGTATTATATTCCCCGTTCCAGTTTTGATGTTATCTCACCTTATCAGCGTGAATAAGTGCCTTCACAATAATAACGCTGACTCTTTCAAGTTTTGTGAAGCGTTGACAGTCTTAAGCTACTGCGCAATCGTCGTCGCGATAACAAGAAATGAGAATTACTATAGCACCGAGAGTTCAGTGTAGACACGATCAACGTTCTATTGGTATTGCGGAAATTCTGTTGAGCTGTATTCTCATCCGGTGCCGGAAAAATCGGCGCGGGCAGGAACACCCGAAGTGGTCGCTGAATGCTGAGGGATCAGCCGCGTTGCAGACCTAGGGAGCTAGGACCGGACTATCCTGTGGGATCGAATGAAAATATTATTACTGTGAGAGAAATAGTTTCGTGGACATGGCAACTCCAACGGTTCTAGCCACGTTTGCGGTCCTCAAGGACCACGTGAAATTGAAGGTTACTCAGGATAGCGTGGCCATTGACAACTTCGGTAATAACTAGGATCGAGATCGATCCGAAAGCTATTTTTCACGTTCTCGAGCGACACAATGATTTATTATTCCGTCGTGATCAGTTTTCAAGCTGCACTACAGAGCCACGTTCCTACTTCTGCTGAGTGGCTGCATCCTCGTGACGTCTAGACAATTCATCGGGGAACATATCAGGTAGAGAAACGAGCTTTTCAAAAGCCCGAACGAACGCGACAAAATGCGACAAAACGCTACCTATACTGCTTATTAGACCGTGGATAGTTATGTGCAATGTTTGTGATGGCACGAACATTTTTGGGATTTGAACAGAGAACCACTTGCTTATTTTAAAGAGTATTAATGAATTATCTTTATTGGTATTTGCTGTAATATATTCCGTAGTCTAATAATGTTTCACTCATTGTTTACGAAGTTTTCACGTCGATATCGAACAGAGAATAATTGTGTTGCCTGAGCTATGAGAAACAAATGGGTCACTTATACACGTGTATATCTACGTTAGATTTGAAACTAGAAAAAACTTAAATATGTAAGTATACAGCCGAGTAAGGTGAATGTTGGCATGTAAACAAATTCTCGGTTAACGTCATCTTCAAGGCCATTCACAGATTAATGACATTCTTGGAATAGTAATATATATTCGTAATACTAAAACGTTATGTAGTTACTGTGACAAAATTTTTCAGGGAAAATAGAAAACAAATGAGAAATTGTTTCATAATAAGCAAAAATAGATTGCATTTATTTGCTTGAATAAAATTGGACAGCTTTATAACACATATTGTAAAGTATAATAGACGATGCAATATAATAAATAATACAACGTTTTAAAGAATCGTATTTTATAAAAAATATCATTTTTATATGTTTTATAAGAATCAAGTTTTATTACTGAATTGGATTTGTACTTTTAAAAAATTCTCTGGTATTTAATTTACTATTTGAGTTCAAAAGACAAACGACAAAATGGCTAGTTTAGAAAACAAGAAATGATAGAGTAGTGAAATAAAGAACTCTCCTCTTAAATAAAGTACACATGATCACTGTATATATAGTTGACGTTAAAACAGATTTGATAGTATACAATTCCATGATTCGTAAGTGATTGAACCTCGACCTGGAACTTTAACAGCACTCGTATAACATACATATGTTGATAATAAAATGCTATTATTTTAATTGATTCTCTCGGAGTTCAACAGCATTCATGTTATCAAATATCGTTGTTTTGATGATACTTGCAATACCATGTAATAAAAGAAATATTAATGAGCTAATTTTAATATGTTTGTGCAGTTGATTACTTTATTTCTAAACGTGGACGTAATCGTTCCAAGTCAATGAAGGATATACATATGCAAAGAACGAGCGTGCACAATTTTTTTACTTTTCAAAAGTTTAAAGAACTTAGAATAGTTATTAGTAATTCTATTGCAAGTACCTCAGGCTATTTTTGGAATGTAAGAAACACGTTGTCGAGTTGAGAAACTATTGCATAATATTTGTAAAATGGAGATCGGCAGTCGGTCGTCTGTAATTTTTTTTTTACAGAAAAGATACGGCATGTATGCTTCAATATGGAATTGCATATCTAAAATCATATAATCTTAGTTGAGAAGAAATTAGTTAATTATGAAGATATCTTTTTGTCACATGCTTTGTACACTATTTTACTTAAAATATTAAGTTATTTTTATGTGTTTTTTCATTTTCTGTTAATTCTATTATCAAAATGCAACTCATCGTAAAAATAAGATTTGTGTACAAAAATAACCAATCCAGATTTGACTATTAATAGATTTAAATTAACGCTTGATTTCGTTTATCTCAATATTTATTTCTATGGTATGAGTGAAAGAAAATTTAGAACAAAATCTGTGAAATATGGAAAAAGTTTCGTTCACAAAAAACTTAACAAGTAGTAGAAAATTACTAACATTAGCAAAAACGATGATATTTAATATCGGTGATTATATCAACAAAGTAACATATTTATTTTCATTACACACCACTGACACAGTTTCATAACATAATAGATAAGTGAAATTTTAAAATTATCTCGTTTTACAGAATGTTTGTAAAAATTATAACTAGCAATCCATCAAACGCTCGAATGCTTATCAGCAATAGTTTGCATATTTAAGTACAATTAACACCATTGATAATATAAACTCGTTGTATTTTCACATTTCTGCGATACGAATACATTTATCCTCTATTGTGTATGTATCATGCTAATAAATGAACGTAGATAGATTAACTTCGCTTTCTGGATGATTCAGTTTATCTGTAGAAGCTAAATCATATAGAACCATTACATTCATTGCTTTTTCTTTTGCTGGTTAAGATGCATCAGCAGTGCCGGAGTAGAGGAAAAAGTGATCAACACTTTCTGTTTCTTCACATCAACGTACACCGTGGTAAATACTAGAGTTACTAGACGGAACGAATATAGTGACTCGTGGTTGCTATAATTCTTGCATGTTGGGTATCCACGGTGCAGAAATGAATGAACTGCACCGTAAAATGTTTGCAAATTTAAAAGTAAACTTAAAAAGAAAAGCAGATAGAATCTACTCGTTAATCTTGTTTCCCGAGAAACGGAACATTTTCCTGTAACTAAACTCTAGGATATTATACTGTTCTAATTTTTATAAAAATTTGAAATAAGTCACTCTAATTGCTCGGTAGTTTGTGTTAATATTGGGACAGCGAAACAATTAAAAGTACAGTTTCTGCTGTACGTGCATGTCAAATGTAAAAGACAAAAGAAAAATATTCGAGAAATTTTGTAAGAAATTCAAAGGAATTATGAAGACACAGGCGTGTCAATTGGTCAATACAGTTTTTAAGCAGAGAAGTTTTGGTACGAGTCATTGTTCTGTGACGAAACAATAGTTAATCTTTACCGCCTACTATTATTACCAAAGTATCATAACTAATTAATTTATGCTTAGAATAGCGGTTGAGAAGCTTCCGTTTGCCAAATAGATATATTTCAACATGGAACTTTGCAATGCTAAGGAAAGTGGGTGTGAAATCATTCTGATATGATTCATTCTGTGATAATGGCTTAAACATCTATTACGAATGACTGATATTAATAATCGGCATTCGATGTACCGAATTGCAATTTCTACTGTACTTATTATCTTTCATGAACAATGCTTTTGAATTATTTATACGTTTGTGTGATTGAAGATCTATTTGTTGAAAATAATGAATTAAAGAGTATATCACGCAATTGAAAAAAGTTTTATCTTTTAAATGGTTAGAGTTAGAACGAGATATTATACTAAATGGTGTTATGCGTTCTTATGCTTGATACATCTGTAAAATACAATTCCACTTTTCTTAAATGCAACCCCACATTTGTCATTCGGTTAATTAATGGAGTTATTTAATCTTTATACAAAATGATTAATATATTCATTTTGTTTCTTTATTATTTTAGATATTATTACAGTTGAAACTTTACCAAATTTTTTGCTTAAAAAGCTGAATTGACATGTTTATATCTAATCTTTATTACATAATTATTATGTAATATATTATAAATAACTATGCTAATATAAATATATATTAATTTAATATTAATATAACGCTGCAGGAAGGAAAACTTATCCCAACATTTATTTCGTTTAACTGTGAGTCAGAATAAATTGCTTAAATCATTGTCATCATTTATGTGACAATAAAATTAATTTATGGAAATAATAGGTTTATGAAAAATGACAGAATATGGTCTTCGAATGCATGGAAATGTGTAGAAAAAGTAGGTCTACAAACTAATAAGTATAGAAAAATTTATAAACTATGTAAAGTAGTATTAGATAAGAACTAGATTATGAATGCAAATTTGATACACTAGTGCTAAAGGTCAAGTCATATTTTATTAGAACGGGTCGGCACTTAGAATATATTGTTAACAGGTTGAGTCCACACAAAATTCACGTAACTTTCCGTTTACGACAGAACACGTTGCAGTATTTATTACGTACGTATAAAATGTACCCTGCAATTTTTCTGAAGTAACAAACATATTTATTAGCAGCATTAACAAGAAAAGTACATTAAACGCTGTGAAACGAAGCATATACTTCATACTTGAAAAACATGTAATTAAATGTTTAAGTTCCGGAAAACTTATTTCTATTCGAGAATTAGCAAAGTTGTTTTAATATTTCACAGATATGGAAACAGAATTCTTAATCTTCCACCGGCAACATGGTTTTTCGCCAACATGGCCTGCAATATGAGCCTTTTATGGTCAGGCTTGAGTTTTCATTGTTCTGAGTTCCGTAAAAATTTTAAAAAATTCCAAGATACTTATTATAATCTCTAATTTAATATACAAATGACACTTAGTCAAATCTTCATATTATTTTGCAATAAGAATTAAAAATCGTGGTGAAGCAATGAAGAAATGAGAATTTCAGGAAAGCTTTAATGGTCACTATAATTTATTATGATATAATTTAATTATAATTATTTTGTAATCTACGTTAAATAATTTCATTATAATTTAATTATATTGCCAACAGAGGATTAAGTAATAACATACACATTGAAAAATTGTAAAAAAATCGATTGTTGTAACTTGAAATCTATTTATTTCAAATCTATATATTTGAAATTTATTCATTTGCTTTCTTCTAATTATTTATATATATTTTTATTATTGCATGCTTAGAAATGAAAAAATAAAATGATCGCACTAGTAACAACTTTTTCGTCTGAGTATATGCAAGGACCAGTGGCACTCAAACGGTTAAACTTTGCATTACAAGCAGAAACGTGTACAACAAAATAAATTATCTTATATGTTTCTGAAACTATTATAACAAATCCATAACGAATATATGTATAATTGGGTTACATATTACCATTCTTATTCAAGACAATCAGTTTCAAAACTATACAGTAATTGCATATATTCCGCAGTAATAATAATGTTTCATCCATTATTTACAAAGTTTTGACGTCGATATCGAACAAAGTAATAAATAATATCATAACAGAATACCAAATAATAGAATAAAAAATAATAAAGAATACCCACTATACTTAAATAGCGTCCATAAAGTCAAAATATTCGTTCCATCGAGAATACACTATATAACTACTTATCCGGAAGAGACAAAATGAATTTTCCAGGAGAAACATATGAACACGACAGCGGTCGAGTTGGGCGTAGCATCACATCCTGGAGTAGGTCCAGCCACCAAAGATGATCCCGTCGTGCACCATGCCTATTATCAGTGGGTGCCTTTTGTTCTGTTCTTTCAAGCGATCCTCTTTTACGTACCTCACTACCTGTGGCGGATAGTTGAAGGTCAGTCTCTTTAAATTTGCTACTAACAACATTCATGTTACCACGTTGATATGTTTATTACTACTAGTAATTTATTAGACACTAAAATTTCATTGTTAGTCGCATTAACACTAATATAGCGTAAGATTAAATGATCGGATTTCAAGTTCTGCGTTTTCTTTCATTCATTTAACTTTGTATCAATCCTTATATTGTCCGATTAATCAGAAACAGAAGAAAAGACAAAAATTGGAAATAAAGTTTCCACTAAGAAAAATGTGTCAAATAGTTTATCTTTATTTTGTAGCCAGTTATTTGACTACGGCAGGAAAAGTACAGGTGCGGTTAGTATCAAATATTGGTTTTATGATTAAGATGTGTAACGGAGTAAATAATATTACTGTTAATGGCACATTTTGACGCAAGTGTTCAATAACTGTAATTAATTTTTACTAAAACTGGAGAAGATTCTTTTATTAAAAGTTATACTTGAATGTTTTTAGATATTAACGGTGTATACGTACTTATAGCACCGGAAGGTTCGATAAATTTCATTCATTAGTGTTAAATATATGGGAAACGTTAAAAATAATCGACAAGATACATTCTGAAATCAATATTAGATAAGGATGACTTATACATCAATTTAATATATTTTTTCCAATCATATTAATAAACTTTCTGACGTTAAGTGATCAAGTTATCGACGTGAAATACGACGATGTGATTTTCTGTATAAATCGGTAATAAATACTAACCACTTAACGAAAGCTCAATGTCTCAATATTAACATTTACATATTTGAAATTCTTATATTAAAACATTTAACGCAAAAAACCGATTACATTTTCAGTAAATAAATCAGAACAAAGGATTTGTTACTTGGGTAGTCTTACTCATTTATGACAGTGATGTATTATAGTGAAATCTAGTTATTGCAGTTGCTGATAATGTCATTAATCAGGCATTGTTGTCATAATCAGTTGTTTCCAAGATACTGTACTTATGTCGAATTAGTTAAAACTGATCTGCCTTTTATAATTGAACTTCAACCACTGTTATCAATATCGATACTATTGAAAACAGAAGATAAGAATTCTTAACGAATTCGTACTAAATGGATCTTCGAAATTTATTTTTAACTGAAGTTTACGTTTTATCTTTCCCATAAGTGCATGATAATCATGCTTAGAAAATTGATTGTTGCGGTGAATAGGAATAAAGATGCATTGCATATAGGTATAAAAATGACATATAATATAAATTGTATAAATGTCATAATTGGTTATAAGAAATTAAGTTTAATAGTGACAATTTTTTATTGTTCATTTAATGTTATTAGTCATTTATTATTATTACAAATTTCATTCTCAAAAATAATTATTAATATTATTTAATACATTTTACACAAATAATCAGTTGTGATAAGATTTAGTATCTCTTAAATGCTTGGTCATTAGCAAAGCTATGTATTTATATGAAAGCGAGATTTCTCGTTTCCGGTATGTAGCATGTTAACAATATATGTGAAGGTTAACGTTATCAACATAGTGTTCTTTAACACTAGAACTACAATACTATACTAGTCATAATGATGAGTGTCAGTTTTCTTATTTCGTGATTATTGATATCTTAATAGTGTTAAATATCTGAAATGATTTTAAAAATAAATAGTTTCACTTTAATGCTATAATCAATATATGAAGAAATCGAAGAAAATCTATTGTTACAATTGTTATAAGGATTACGTATTAATCAGATTGAACACTCGGTAGTTCTAAGGTTAAAGTAAATACACCGGTCCCTTCATTTACGCGAAGTAAATATTATATTAACGATAAAGTAATTTCATCAGGTACAGATGTGAAAGATATCATAGCACAAGGTGTTAATTATGAATATAGTATTTTATTTACGAATAATGACTCGATATCGCGTAAGTAGTGTTATATTGTATCGTATAAAAAAGAGACTTATGTACAACAACGCCGCGTAAATGAAGGGGTTGGAAACAGTTATAATATAAGTTTCGATTTTTGAAACAGTTATGAAGAACCGAAATAAAATCATAACTGTTATTTGAAATATCGGTTCTATATGGATTCCATAACTGTCATTTTTAAAGGAAATGCAGGACCAAAAAATAACAGTTATAGAACCGATATATATTCTGAAAAACCAGTACCGAAACCGATACAGCTCAGAACCGATACACCGAATGACAATTAATGATGACTTCATTTCGGTTTTCATATAACAGTTTCAAACAGTTATTTTCAGAACCATTTCCCCCGTTAACCCATTCACTGCCAGGCAAATTCTGAGCGTCTCACCCAGGGCGCCAAGATCGGTAGCAAATAATCTAAACTCGTAACGCAAAGTATGAGATATCTCGTAGTCGACAGTGAATGAGTTAATTACCAAAAACTTCAACTTTCCCGCTCGTCGGTATCTCCCGTGACTTCTCGGATGTCAGGAACCGACGTTCCTGAATGAAGGATTTCTGCTGGTCCAGGTGGCCGTCTGAAGCAGTTGGTTTCTGGATTACACATGGCCTGCCTGGCCTTGAACGAAACGCCGATGTCCATTAATAAGAACGTGACCGTACCCTCGAAACAGGATAAGGACGACAAGATCCGGCAGCTCCGTGTCGCTTTCGTCAATCGTATCCACTTGAACCGACCGTGGGCGTACTACCTGGGCCTCTGCGAGGTTCTCAATTTCATTAACGTTCTGGTACAGATTTACCTGACCGACAAGTTCTTGGGCGGCGCTTTCCTCGGTCTAGGTCAGGCGCTGGCGGCAGACAGAACCAATGGACAGTCGAATGTCCTTGATGTCGTTTTTCCCAAGGTACGTGCCATGATATACGCTACTATCTAATTTCCTGGAGGAAACTGTTAGATCATCTTAAGAGCGTGCGCGCTTTTAACTCTTTGCGGACGAAGATTCGTTGAAGTGCACAAAACCCTCAGCAGATGAAGCGAAATTATAGGATAATCCTGGGTGAGACGTTTCTGCGGTTGAGACAAAACTGCCGAGCAGTTAAATTGACTTTTTGAGAATTCTCTATAGAAACTCCAAGAGTGCATCTATTGCAACTTTAATCGATTTATAATTCAGTTTGCGTGTTGCTAAATCAATTTCTTTAAGAATACTTCAAAGGAACAATCGTTATCTTTTTAATAATTGCAAAAAGAAGAAATCTGGAATGCGTCATTTTGACCTTTCTGGTAGCATTAGTGTTAATATTGTCAAATATTTTCGATGTTCTTAAGTGATATACTGAGTCTTATATAGAAATCTATTTAACTATTCTTATATATGTGTGTTAATTTACATAAATATGTTTTAATTTTGTTAGGTATCAGTAATATTTATAATGTAATAGTTCTTTTTTAAAAAGTGAGTCATCGTTTCCCGATTTATCCTACGTCGAATGTTTAAAGAATAGAAATAAAACGGACACCATGTAGCAATTTCTTGCTGTTTGAGTAATCAAATCGTTTCTCTGCGACTTGGTGTTCCAAGTATGATCTCGCCAAATTATCGACATTCGACCTCAAAAGGTTAAACCACTTCGAAGTGACAGTATTCTACTGGAAACCGACAACTCGAATCTTCAAGAGACAAACGTTTCTGCAAATCGTAAGGTAATTCGAGAAGATGACCCACTTTTTTAGAAAAAGTTGTCACATCGTAACTGTCGTTGACACCTAACAATCAGGAGTATATTGGGTCTTCCGGAAAGTTATACTCGATAATGTCATATTAAATTTTCGAAGATAAGTCATTCTGCAAAAATGGAATCCTCAAATTACCATCATAGATGACTTTAGTAACGATGGAACTTATATTGTTCAGTAAATGTTAATAAATGTATTGAAAATGTATTACTTTCTTTTAATTCTAAAAGACACAGAACATTCCGGTAGACCTAATATTTATACAAGCAAATAGGTACACACAAGAAGAATAATTGAATAGGCCTTTATGCAAGGTACCATTAAAAACAAATGAGATCGGGTCATCTTACACGGAATTGTCCTATTTTCGATTTCTGCATATCTTTTATAAAAAGTGTTTTGAATAAGGTTCCCCATGGCGTATTGTTGTGTTATCAGAGATATGATCAACTGTCAGTTCGAGTAAGTTGTGATTAATCGAGAAGTTGAATTGATTAAGAAATTGGGTCAAAATAAATCTGAACAGTATTACCAAGGATTAACCGTAATCTAATGTATTTAGTATACTTTTTTTTGCAAAAGATTCTGCTATTTGGCATTAAGAAATAACTGAATTGTCTAATCGTTGATTTTTCGTTTTTAATCGTGTTTTTCCGAGGAAACTATTTACAGCATGAAAGACATTAATGTAAGAGAATAAGAGAACTACAAGTGTTGATGTAGAACTTCGATACTCGACTGATGCAATTTTTGTATGATAGGATATCTCAGTTTATCAGTTAGTTGTTATTATTAGTACAGTTCCACTTTGATAGTATCGCACAATCTGAAAGAAAAGACAATGAATTGGATCGGCTGGTAGAATCAAAAGTACTTTCAGTATTGAAACGTTCGAATATAATGAAGTCAAAAATTGACAAAAAATGGTAAATGCTAGGTTGTGTTAAATGGACATCCGTACAGAATACCTTCAATTTTTACATATTTATTATCTTATTTTAATCTTCCATTTGCACGAGAATTTAGTCACAGAAAATTAAGAATGCTCTTGTAAAATAGAATAATTTTGACTATACGTTCCATCTAACAAAACAGCGATTTCCAAACTGAAAGGTGCGGACTAGAGTAAAATCGGGCGCGGAAAGTAATCATTCTGTCAATTAATTAACTTATTTTCATTGTTCGTGTTGATACGTATTTTACTATTTAAAAATGTCTGCATTATTTTATGAAATGATGGGAAAGGGGGAGCGCCAAGATTAGATTTGTTTAAAGGAGTGCGTAGTAACATACGGTTTGGAAACCACTATAATAAATTATTGTGACCGTGCAGACTGTTAACGAAAGAAATGCTAGTAGCGAATAGATTAAGTACCATTACCCTATATTTTGTCCTATATTTGTTATCATTACCGATGTAAATATAAACCTACAGCAGGTCGTAAGTGACCCATCATTGACTGACCAAGTGCTTCGTTAACCTCTTTGCGGTTAACAATTTATTGAAAAAGGAGAAAAATTCTAGGCATATTCTATGTCTATGTTTGCACTAAAGTATAATTATTGGTAACAGAAGAATAATGTTTAATTTGAATTCAAAAGGACTGAGTAATATTTTTCCTTGTTAAATTCTCTGGAAAATCTTCACCACGAGTCCGACACGTTGTTATAAGGCAAGAGGTTAAAGAAACGAACGGAACATGTCTCCGGAAACATTTGAAACGTTCTGTAATCCTTTTCGTGGGCGTCCAGATGACCAAGTGCATCTTCCACAAGTACGGTCCTTCGGGGAGCATACAGCAACACGACGCCCTCTGTGTGATGGCGCTGAACATCGTGAACGAGAAGATCTACGTGTTCCTCTGGTACTGGTTCATCATTCTCGCGGTGATAACCAGTTTGGGACTGGTTTGGAGGATATTAACCATGCTGCTGCACTCTAGGTTACTACTGTTTACCGTTGATGCGTGTTTAGAAACTGTTGCCTTTCCAGAATTCCTTTTACAAAGAAACAGTCCGTTAGGCTGATAGAATAAAGACAAGCACTGAGCCTCGGTCCTCGAAAGCTGTAGCCGTGACTCGAGCCTTCAGAACCTCGAGCTCTAAAAGCTGAAGTCTTTAATATCGAAGACTCGAGTTGTCTGTTGCTATATTAACACCGCAAAGCTTGAAGTCTAGGAAATTTCAAATGCCTCGAAGATTGAACTATTTTAATATTTTCAGTTCCGTTTTAATATAGCAGCAGACTGCTCGAGTCTTCGACTGCTTTCGATTATAAAGACTCTAACTTAGAGGCTCCCGAGGCTCAGTTCGAGCTGTCGAAACTTCAAGGCCGAGTTTCGAAGATTCGAAGACTGAATCTTTATTGCACCCCAAGCCATCAAGACTCGACATTTAAGATTAAAATTTGAAGCTGCAATGATTCGACCGTTTTACAACACTCAGGCAGGTTTTCCACGTTTCTTACTAATCCTGTTCCGTCCGCAGGAGCTCGATGTTTAATAAATACGTGTTCCAAATGGCCTGCCCGGGCAAGTACAATCCGTGGAGCGTACTCACAGTCACCCACGAGTGCCACTTCGGGGACTGGTTGTTCCTCTATTATATAGCGAAGAACCTGGACAACTATGTCTTCAAGGATTTCCTGCTTCAGCTAGCGGAGGACATGCAGGCCAAGCGGCAATCTCACGCGCGCACTCTCTCCCACGAGGAGGAACCGTTGAAACCTACAGTTTAACACGTTGCAGCTATATTTTTCAATTCTAATGCAGTCCTCGATTCAACTATATCAGTGTCATAGTAACTGTTAACTATATTATATGAGTATTATATCATATAGTTACTACATTCTATAGGTACTAGACACGGGTACTACACTGTATAGTTATTATGTTACATCATATAATTGTGACATAGTTACTGTATATATTATGATATAGTATTTAGGTACTATATTATAATATATTACATAATACATGTTACTATATAGCGCTATAGTTATTACAGTAACTAATAACTAAATTTAATATAAATTTAATATATAGTAACTAAATATTATAATATATACAATAACTGTATCATAATTATATGATATAATAACTATCAAATATCAGTACAGTCTGATAAACATATTTCGTTACTTTGATTGATTGCATTATGTTACACTGTCAATTTTAGAGGTGAATAGCAGTTGGTAATTATTTTGTGGCATAATGAAGACTTTATAGCCAGAATTGCCTCTTCTACTCTATCTACATTATTACAGCGGTTAAAAAACAAAATGCCGGTATATAAATACTGGAACGTGTCAGAGCTGCATTACCTCTCATTCGCTTTCAAGATTTCCCATCCTGAACGAATGTCTAGCCAATGATAAATGCCATTAGGATAATTGTTAAATTAAACGCCACGAACTGTCTGCAATATATCGATTTTGATAGTGCATTTGCAAACAGTAAGTGCTGGACGTTTAACATAATATAGGTGGATGAGTATAATGCCTGTATGTATAACTTACAAGTTCCTGACAAACTGAAGTGATGTATTCGTATAGGAAGACAGAGGGAATGATGATTTTATAAACAATTGTTTTATAAAATATAAAATTTAGTTTTTGAAATATACGAGCAAATAAACACCGTGCGATAAGTTACTTAAAACGCATCGTCTACATTAAAAACTTTGAAATATACAAAAATTAACGTAATGACAATATTAAAGTTGAAGTGCTAAAAGTGAAAATGGTGTTGATCCATTGGACATTTTCTTTTTAAGAAGTTCGTATATTCTTCTAAGTTGGAGTAGCATTTGAAAAGTATTATGTTCGATAAATCCAACGAATAGTTTGGAAACGTTACTATAATGATAAAAACTCGGTGACTGTGGGAGGATTTAATGCGCGAGATCATCGCTACGACTTTTTGATTGACTCATAATCAGTATAATCAATTCCTCGAAGACATTGTCTTAGAACTATATCTTTCCATGAAATGCTTTATTTAAATCAAATTTATTTATTCAAAGTATTTTTTAACGCCTGAGTATACTTTATTGCAAATGAAATTTAAACAATAAACAAAATTACTAATAAAATAACTAATAAATAAAGTTTTCAGGAAACGATACTATTTTATCTGGATGTTAATCTGCAGAAAATATTAAGACCAGTAATAAAATATTCTTGAACTTTGGCTTTTTACAATTTAAAGGAGATAATTTTGTATAAATGATTCAGGCTCATAGATTATATGCATACTTTAAGATACACGTGAAAATGTTATAAAAACACAAAGAAAAACAAAGTTCTATCGGTGACTGATTATATCATTGTTTTATTCTTTCCCCTACAACTGTCCTTGACATTGTTCTTTGTGACTTAATAAAAACAACGATTTGTATAGACATTCAGAGTCTACGGGTAACTCTCATTGTCAGTTTTAAGAAATCTACGGAAATCTTGCGTCATCGTATTTCCTTGTTCTGCCGAGCAGTATCGCGCCGACATTTGCATCATGCATGTGGAATTTTTGATTAATCAGTAAGGTACGTTTGCAGTTCTACATATTCATTAACCTTTCGCATTTCCCTGATGACGTTAATAATATTTGAAAGTATCGATCTTCTATATGGAATTGACTCGATTATTTTTAAAATATAAAGGTAAATTATTTGGCAAATAAACGATGTGCTCAACATTATAAGAATTTTACATCTTTTTCATGTATTTTTAGTGAAATTTGTTGATTACCCTACATATAATGGACACATTAAAACATTCGTGTTTTTCTATTAACATTTATACACCATTTTGAATGCCCTAAACAGCTTTAAATAAAATATTTTGAATATTCAAGTCTTTTCATTAACATTCTCGGTATTCAATACAAGCTAAATTAATTAACATAATTCTGAGATATTAATTTATCATTGTTTATCAAATTGAAACGTTGATAAAGGAATAATTTCTCAACGACCATTTTACAAAGTGATTGAGAGAATCCGCAGTAATTTTTAAACGTTTGTTAGAGGAACAATATTACTTTTAGTGTTTTTGGTTTTACTAGTATCTAACATGTACCTAACAAGCCAACTAGTAACTAACATGTGGTCAATTATTAGTTTTCTCGTTTTAAAGGATGGCCAACTTCTAACGTAAGTATTGAATTTTGAAAAACGTCTATAAAATTTGGATACTATAACTATTCCAAAAAGTTCGCTTTATTATATAATATAAGAAGTTCAAACATCATTTTCACGTATGGAGCCTCTCTATTTAATAAAGGAGCAAGCGTTTACTATTATTCACACAGGAAATTTCTTTAATTGGTCAACTATTGGAGCTTTTGCCTTAGGTGTGCACAAAGTGCCGATACGTTTAGTATTAAGAAAGAAAATAATAACAGTAACGTTTCAGAAAACGCAAGTAAATTTTATTCTGTATCATTGAATTCAAATCGCGTAAATTGATATCGTCCATAAACAATACCGCGTAAATAGTGTTACAATTCTCCGTGTAAAGAGACTGCCGCGTAAATGGAGGGACGGGTGCACATCACATTTCGTGTGCGGTACACGACGCTAGTTGCTCTGCCGTTCGTCCTCTCCCTCATCCGCTGCACGTTCACTCGTGCGGACCACTCGTATGCACCGATACGCGTGTGCAGGTAACGCTATATTGAACTGACCTCTCTAGCTGCTCGACAATAGTCGGGATTATTAAATCGTTCGGAAGGTTGATTGGCTTTGCGACATGGTTTGCCCTCGAATTAGAACATTCGCTTGACTAGCTGATTCGGTCTGTGGTGTGCAGTCCTGGTTCATGTTTAACAATTTTGTTTTGCTATCTGTCGGACAGTTTGCATTAGTATTATCTTTACATGAATATATTGCAGTTGTTCGCGATTCTGTGTCAAACAGTTAACTGCGTTCGACGAGTATACACGTCATCTAAAACTCAAAATGATATTAATTCTTTCAACGATGAATTAGTCATTTGTTTTGATAAACATAATTCTTCTTCGTTTTGCTTTAGTTTTCTGTTAGAATATATTAGGTACAGTTAACAGGTCAATATGATCAAATTATCGTTCTATTTCTTGTGACAACAGGTTATATAAGCTTATGAAGCATATAAACGAAATAAATCGTAGTCTTGACTTTAAATAAATGAATAAGTCTTCTGCAAATTCGTCTTGTCCGTGTACATCAGAGTTATAGTAACATCATACGAATGTTAGGTATCAGATCTTGTAAGTATGATTTAAATGTTCTTGTTAATTTTATGTTGAGTTGTGTCTTGAATGTGCTTTCGCCGAATGCTTCTGTACCATTAACGATACCCATACAGTAAACTCTTTGTCGGGGTACGCCACACATGTTTTTCGTAAAGGGTACAGTTACTCACAAAATTGGAGGTGCATACAGTTAAGTGAAAATTGACAGTAGAATAAATAAGAACATACATATTTGAAAATAAAAGTATAATGTACTTTTGCATAACATCTCTTTTTGGAATACTAACAGTTTTGCTTTTGCAGTTTCATTTCCTTATAAACCAATATAGACAATAGTTTTACAAACTATAATTTTTTAAATAATTTTATAAATACTATTTATAAGCAATAATTTTGCAAAATGTAATATAAATGAATGCTATAAATACATACAAAATTATTACAAACTGATATTATTATATTTTTTAACATTTGTTTTTACATTTTTACAATGTTCAGTAGCTTATTACTGTGCAATTTATTGTATCCCTGTTTAATTATTTATTAGATACACATCTATTTTCATTTAATCTGGTAAATGTTTGTTATATGGTTATGTCATGACATTTTCTTCCTTTTCTAAGTTAAGTACTGAAAATAACTTTCTTTTGTCGAATTACGAGTACAGTGAGTTTAGTTCACTAACCAAAGGAATAAGATTCTACGGACCAGCAGCAAAAGTTTCGCACTTCGGTGTGAACGTACACGCGAATTCCGCTGCCGACATTGTTACGAATATTCTCGCATTGGTTTGGAGGAACCTTGAAACGATTATTACTCGGTTTACCTTTCAGCGTAAGAATGTGCAATGGTGGTTACGGAGTATGCACAATTTTTCGGAATTTCTTCCTATGTTGCAATAAATAAAAAACTAAAAGTTGTTAATGTGTGTAGAGAAATCATTCATAAATAATTCTATCGATTACCAACTACTGAAAATATTTCATTATGGAAAGATGTGCAAGATATGGTGAAAACATTCAATTATAATTTGCAGTATTACTTAGCTTTTTTTTCTGTATGTAGACTGTATTAATATGAGGTATAGTAAAATTGTGATAGACAAAATAATGGAATAATTGATTTAATATAATAAAAAAGAAGCATTTTTTTCGAGGTCTATATTTTTCATTGATTCACTTTACTTTCACGAATGATATATTTTGTTATTCACTATCCTACACCACCTATCCTCGTTATGTTCGTGTTAAGATGACCTCATTTAACGTTGTTTCATGTTACGTTTGGTATTATTGGAACATAACTTGTACGTTAAACGGGGTCTTACTGTAATCTGAGTTTATAGTTCCATGGCAGTACAGGAAAATTACCAAATTTTAGTGTGAACGCTAAACAGTGTATCAGCGACGTTAACTGAAGAAACAGATTACTCAAGCGAGAGCTCGTTATCGGTGGCGGGTGTTGAAGAAATATTTGACTATCTGTCGTCAGAAATATGGTAATTGAAATCCTCCGCAAGGCGGATATCAAATCAACAAAACCATAAAACCGTGGGTTACATGTCGACCTTCGATACTGCAAGACACGTTTCAAACAGAATAAAAAGTATATCGACGTCTATTAGGTCACTGTGGAAATTTCGGTTGTAACGATTTCTCACTTATTTATTCTTATAGTTATTATATGTTATTACATTTTATTAGACTTGTATTTGTAGGCGTTATTTTGTTATTTATATGTTATTACGTTCCTTTAATATAAGGTCATTATGGAAATTTCTGTTGTAATGATGTCTCCCTTCTTATCCTTCTAATTAATATATATTATTATAGTTATTAGATAGTTAATGACAGTTAACATTGAACAATAGCATAAAAATTCAAAGAAACCACACTGAAATCTTTGAAAAATTTTGCGAGGAAAATGAGAAAAAAATGTAGAGGAATGAGTTTATTGTACATCTTTCTAAAATTTAATTACGAATTTATTAGTGTCGTCCTATTTATGAATCGATTGAAATCGATTAAAAATCACAGAACGATTTAAAATGTATTTATTATTGCTGAAACCAACGTGCCAGTACAGTAGTTCAAACGAAAGTTGAACAACCGGAAGACGATGCGATCACAAACAGTGAATCAAGCGATAAGCTGTGAAATCTGATTACGTGATCTTTGTTCGCTTCTTTTTCAGTGGGAGGAGGACTCATTGCAGCCGGAATACGGTTCATTATGTTCTCTCTCACAACCAGGAAATGACAATTGTAAATTCACAGAAATGAGGTGTGCACTATATACGAAGACTTGCTTGTTCTCTAATATTAGGTCATCCTACGAATAATATAATAGTATAAAAAAAATAAGGATAAACAAACATTTATCAGTAATAATTAATAAATCGCTGATATCCATCCAAATCTGTATTTCTGTAAACTAGTTCGCAGAAATGAGAATAAAATTGAGACTGAAACTTATTTCTTTAATAGATCATTTTAAAAGATTAGCAATGCAAATTGAACAATTTTTTTTTATTTACATAAATACATAAACATGTAGTAGATATAGGAAGTTAGTTAGTTAGTTCAACATATGTTTTTCTTTTGCACTGAATTGTAATGTGAAAATTGTTTTCCTCCGTCGTGCACAATTTTTGAAAAAATTAAATTTGGCACAAGGATAAAAATATTTTAATTAAAAAATTTTTTGTGCAATAAATATTAATGTTTTACAAACAATCCGTGCAGAAAAAGATTCTCTAGACTATTCAAAATAAAATGATGTATATTTTGATAATGCTATGAATACTTTAACTATATGAAACAACTGTTTAAGTACTGTGAACATATTTTACATCAAACGGGAAGTACGGTGATAAAACGTTGTAAATACTTTTTTTTTTAAAAAGTCTAGATAGAAATCTTTTCTCTACAGTATTAATTAGTTTCCACGTTCTAAATACTCTGTTTCTTTTAATAACAGCTAGATAAAAATCTATACTCTACAGTATTAATTAGTTTCAATGTTCCTAATACTTTGTTTCTTTTGAAGCATTTAGATAGAAATCTTTGCAGTACAGTATTAATTATTTT